TTTTCAACTTTCTGCATCCAACTGATCAAAAATGATTCCTTTCTAAGATCGCTTATAGACTATACTCCACTATGTCTAACCAAACGAGGAACCATAAAACAAAGCAAAGAAGGGTTTTAAAGCTCCAACCTTGAAGAACACGAGAAATCCCCAAAGCTGAAACCTTTCGAAGCCGAAGAACAGAATACGCCATTTATAATTTGTTGGAATCAATTTCTTTATCCCTTATTCACCAAAAGTAATAGAGCTCGAGTAGAATCACGAAACTTGTCATTTGCTTTGAAGGAAGCTCAAAATTACATAAATCAATCACTTGAAATCGAGGAGGAGACAAACAAAAAGAGAAATTAAAACCAAATTCTCTTATATAATTAGAAACTGAAGAAACCATCTCAGACTTCCATTGTTAGACCTTATTCTTCTCCAGAGGTCGGCGACTCAGCAAGAAGCGGGAGAGAGAAGAAAACGAGAGGTTCCTTTTTTATTTACAAATTAACCCCTAACTTTTCCTATTACTCTCTCTTACACCCTCCTACTTTTAAAAATAGAAATTTCAACATAACGTAATATGTCAAAAATACCCCTGACTATCTTAAAGAATTACCCAATCAAACCCATCTTGTTCGCCAAGTCGCTTTGATCTAAGAAACTCTTACATTCTCCAGCGACCGGAAGATCTTAAGGAACTGAGAAATTTTTGGCCTGAGAACTGAGAAGAAACAGATCTGAAGATGGAGTGTGTATTTGGTCTAGTTGGGAATGGATTCGCTATCGTGGCGGCGGATACATCAGCAGTTCACAGTATTCTTCTTCACAAGAACAAGGAGGACAAGATCATGGTTCTTGACTCTCACAAGCTCGTCGCCGCTAGTGGCGAGCCTGGTGATCGGTAAAAAATCTCCGCCGTCTCTCTCTCTGTGATCAGTAGTAGTACATGGATTTGATTCGTGTTTTTTTTTTTTTGGATTTAATTTAGGGTTCAGTTTACGGAGTATGTTCAGAAGAATGTGTCACTGTATCAGTTTCGTAATGGGCTCCCTTTGACTACTGCTGCTGCTGCTAACTTCACTCGTGGAGAGCTAGCTACTGCTTTGAGAAAGGTGAGCTCTCTAGGGGTTTTCAATTTCTGAATTTTGGGATGATTTTGGTTGTGAGATTTGGGAATTAGGGTTTCGAATCTCTTTGATTTAGATGCTTTAGTGCTTATTCTTGTTTTAGTTTCCTCTTTTGCTTTAGTTAAACATGTCAATTTGTTTGAAGCTTTCCTCTGTCATAGTGTGGTTTTGATAGTATTAAGATGTTTTGATACTTAATGCTTGTTCATAAGCTTATAACTCGTTTTGTTTCACTTCCTCTTGTATGGTGGTGTGAAACCATTGTTGATACAAGCGGTTCTGAGATTCCGATCATTACGATTCTCGTTACCTTAGGGTAGGTAAATGACATTGGAAAGTTTTACCTAATGTGTTCATTATCTAGACATAGTGTGGCCTTTAGAAACATTCAAGGTATTTTAGAAAGACGATTAGAATATTCTACACTTTGTTGCAGTTATATGTGCTTGGATGTTACAGAAGTTTCTCTTTGAGTTTGATGAAGTTGTTTTCTTATGCCAAGCTTGATAAGTTATTATTATTCATTGACTAAGAATTCACAAGACTAGGAATTTTGTGCTACCTTTCAAGGTTACTCTGACTTCCGTGACTTGATTGTGGAAATCTGATACTCAAGGCTAACTTATTTGTGGTCGTTTACCGATTTAGGGTAGATCTTCCTACGATGGACAGTGTTGTTGAGTGGGTTATATACCTATGGATCCTTTGCTATAGATTGTTAAATGATCCTCCCTGGCTTATTTTGGTTGTTTATGACTGGTCTGCATATCCGTACTTAATGTTTTGAAATTTCTCATTGCTGTCTGTTCTGTTTGATTACAGAATCCGTATTCGGTGAACATCCTGATGGCTGGATACGACAAAGAAGCCGGGGCATCTCTATACTACATTGACTACATTGCAACTCTCCACAAGGTTGATAAGGGAGCATTCGGTTATGGCTCATACTTCTCTCTCTCTACAATGGACAGACACTACCGCAGCGACATGTCTGTTGAAGAAGCCATTGAATTGGTCGACAAATGCATACTCGAGATCAGGTCAAGGCTGGTCATTGCACCACCAAACTTTGTGATCAAGATTGTCGACAAGAACGGAGCCCGTGAGTACGATTGGCGTATCACCACTGTTGATGCCTGAGTTGTTTATTATTGGGGTTTATTAGACGTTTATGTTACTCAGCTCACATTTACTTCTCTATTGAACTTCAAGCTCCCTGGATGTTAAAGTTCCTAGATAATGATGATATGCATGTGTTGAACTTTGAAATGAAAACTTCTTCTATTTCCTTATAGCGTCTATGAAGCAAAAGTAATGAAAATGTAAACCTAAACATCTTCCTCTAGTATATATCATCCAAAGGAGACACCGTTCACAGCTGAAACAATCACACTAATAGAGTAATAGTAGCACAAAAGTAGCTTTGTTCCCTGTGTTTCTACATAAGGAAGACTTTGACACAAGAAGCCCAATGGTAAAATCTAAGTATCAATGAAGTAAACCCCTAAACAGAGCTTTATACCGTTCAGATCCGAGTGAGAATAGAAGAGGCAAAAGTCATGATGATAGTCGATGGAAACCAGAAGTTTCTGATCTTTTGAGAGTCGCTTGAGATGTATTGTGCGTCTGGTGGTGGTGGTGGTGGTGCTATGGTGGCTGTTTCCGGTGAGAATTGATCGGAGCTTGGTGAAACTTCCGGTGCTAAGCCGACCGATGGAGGAGAAGCGGAATCGTGATTACCTGCAGAATATGATTTGATTGAATCAAGTCTCTTGTCAACGAAACTTAACATAATCCATGGAAATGATCCGTTTCTTACCGGAAACAAACGGATTTGTGAACTGAATACTCTGAAGCGGCGGAAGCTCCGGCGACTCTGCACCACAGATCAAAACCCTAGAAATTACACATCTAAGATTCGATTTATATCCAATTAGATAGAAGAATTCGAAATTAACCTGATAGCGAACAGAGAGATTCGAAAGATTCGTAGGAGTTCTGATCGGTACAGATCTGGGAAATAGAAATCAATCGAGATCTATCCAACGGGAATCCGAGGATCATCGGCTGTCGGAGAAGATAACAGAGGCAGTTTCCGGCGCTAAAATGAACGGAGGAGGTAAAAACGGAGCAGCAAATAGGATCCGGAGTCTCTGACATGTTGTTTGGTGGAGCGGAGACGTAAGGAAGGCAAGGAGAGAACATGACGAGCTCCTCCGTACAAGTCGGAATCGGTGGAGAAGACGAAGGTGCTTGCGTCGCGGATACGGCGGAGGAGGAGAAGGTGATCGCGAGTATGAGGATGAAGACGACGGTGGTGATTGTGGCGGCCATTGTCGTTGTTGCTTCAGAGATCTCTCTTCTTCGTGATTAGTTAGTTAGTTACAGAGATTTTTACTTAATGGCTGAATCCGTAGTGACGACTGACGAGTGAAGAAGAAGGCTTATATAACAATGGTGGCGGGAAATATAACATATGCGGAGGTTTTATAGTGAAGTTACTAATTTGCCCTTGTGTTGATTTTTCTCGGAACGAGGTAGATTTTGGGTGATTGGCCACTATGATGCGTCCACGTGTGAAGATTAGTTTAGTTTGGGCTTTTAAATGGAATATCGAAGCCCACAATTTATGTTTTCTTTTTTTTTTTTTTTTTTACATTTTATAGTTTTAGTTGACTTTAAAATTTAAATTTGTGTTTTTAAGGAAGATGAATAAAAAAACACACCAAAAAAAAAGGAAGATGAATAAAAAATCTGTCGGCTATTAAAAATAACAAAGATGCTTGTGAAACTGTAAAAATCCTACAAAATGTCATATATTCACGAAGATGCCTGGCATAACAGCTGCGATAAAAAAAAACAGTGACTGAGATTTTTCCGTCTTTAACGAGGGCCGGCTCAATTTTATTGAAGTCCCTGAGCTGAAAAAAAAAATGGGTATTTTTCTCTATTGTTTTTAGAAATAAAAATTTTTGGATCCTATTTTGATCAGAAAAAAGACAAAAAAAATTAATAGACCATGTGCTATAGCACCCCAAGCACATGCCTAGAGCCGGGGCTGACGATCCATCGAGCTGTTGATGCTTGTGAAACGATAAAATCACAATTTTCTCGTAGCTGTTGTGCAGATATCTTCGTGAATACCTGATATCTTGGAGAGTTTTTCTTGAAGCTCCTTGCTCAGTTGGGATATTCGTTGACCGCGGACTCGGTGGTTGGAGTTAAGTTTCGGCTCAAGATGTTTTTAATTTACTGTCATGCTTTTGGTTCTTCCGTGGTCGTGAAGATCGTGAAGTGTTGGCTTATGGACCATCTCGGAATTTCAGTTTCTGAATAAGCACACAAACTTTATTATATATTGCAAAAGTTAGTCATGCTCTTTATCAAAAAGAGAAGTTGGTCATGCAGATTAAGCAACATTTACATCCTTATTTTCGTCTTGGTATGCGACATCAGTTTCTATTTATTTACTTACTCACAAAAAGACTCCAACACAAACCAATAAACTCAAACAACCAAATTAAAATAAACACTTGAGAGATTTTCGGAACAACAAGAAAAACATGAAACCTAGTATGTGTTGGTGTTGCTTATAGCTAGTTTTAATGTCTATGATGTCAACGGTTTCTACAAATTTATCTACATATATCTTTTTTTGTTTTCATTTAAGTCATCAATCAAATTTCAATCAGGCGAAACTCTAATTAAAAATAGTAGTCACAAAAATAATTTAATTAACAAACATCCTAAAACCAAACGTAATCAGATTCTTTCACAAACTTCACCATAAAGTGTTGCAAAAGTTGGTCATGCAAATTGAGCCACATCCTTATTTTCGTCTTTTTATGCGGCCTCAACTTCTTATATATTTACGTAACCACAAAAGACTCCAACACAAACCATTAAGCGATCAAATAACTAAATTAAAACAAATTCTTGAGAGATTCTTGGAACAATTCACAAGAAAAATATGAAACCTAGAATGTGTTTAATGTTGTTTATAGCTTTAATGGCAGTGATGTCAACAGTTTCTGCTCAGTCAAGCTGCACAAATGTCCTAATCAGCATGGCGCCGTGTCTCGGCTATATCACTCAAAACACTTCTACTCCGTCTCAACAATGTTGTAGCCAGTTGGCTCATGTTGTTCGATATTCTTCTGAGTGTTTGTGTGAAGTTCTCGATGGTGGAGGTTCTCAGCTTGGGATCAATGTTAATGAGACACAAGCTCTTGCTTTGCCTAAAGCTTGTCATGTCGAAACTCCTCCAGCTAGTCGTTGCAATAGTAAGATAGACACTCATTATCATCTTTTTACTATCTTTTGTTTCTCACACATTAGAGTTTATTATTTTCAGGTGGTTCTTCGGTTAATTCGCATACAGGATCATCAAATACTTCAGGTAAAAAGACTTAAACTTATATCAAACCTAATCGTATATATTTTTGTGACATTATAATTTCTAATGAGCAGAACATGGAAACGAATCAAAAACAGTCCCAGGAGAAAAGTCATCATCTAATGGTTCTATTAAGTTCTCATTCCCTCTTCTCGCCATCCTTTTCACAGCTTCTTACATCATAATCTTCGCAAAATACTGACTTTTTTTGTACCTATAAAACTTTTGGCCTCTTTAAAGAAAATTTTCTTTTTTAGTCTCTATTAAATCGCGGTGTATTGTGGTGATGACTGATGTGTGATGTATTTTGTGCTCTATTAATCCCTACTTTCTAGGTGATATTATTGGTTTGTATTCCAAAGAGTGTGTTGAATTTCTTTGATTTATGCAATAAACATTATTTTCTAGGACACAATTTGAAATACATGATATGTATTGTTATCACTAACACATGTATTGTAGAAGGAGTACGATTGATATCACAAACGCATGCATTGTTGCCATTTTAGTCACAATTTCTAAATATAAGCTTTGTCTGTTACCGTAAATGTAATTGACTAATTGTTCACCATAAACTTTTTCGCAGAGTGTTGTCTCTATCCACATTTTCTTTTGCCGGAAATTTTATGAAGGGAATTATCGTCTTTCTCAAAAATTTCTCTATTTTTAAGTTGCATACTTGTAAATCGTTTTGGTATCTCTTTTAATATTCCAGAACATATGATGTGGAAGTCATAGACAAACATTTATATAGTGGCTGAAATCTGGAAGACATTTTCTAGCAAGAGTCAAACAAATGTCTAGAGATGTCAAAGCAAAAATGATAATGGAAATTAACTAACACCTATCTACTTTTCTTTATCAAACTAGTGATTCACTAATTTAAATGTGTGATTGGCAAAAAATTATTTTCCAAACTCTATTCAGTCTACAATTAATATCACTTTTTATTGAATGTAGTATTGTTTTGTCATAATGAATTCGTAGTTTATGTTCGTAAGTTATCTAATTATTAATTTGATATGTGCATGAAATTGAAGGTCAAATAATGGTAGAAGGGACCCTTGAACAAGACCACCATTGTCTCCACTTCCACAAAACACAATCTCATGTCTCTTAGAACATGGAGCCAATTATTGCAACTCCTTGCCCTCCCATAGTTTTGTTTAATTATGTCAAAACTTTATTCATTTACAAAAACAACATTGGTATCCTGCAATAAATATTGTCATCAACGTGGACTTAACACATCTAAAAACATATCATATCAAAAGTCACAACCTACTATTTATTTGGTCTTGAATCATATGATTCATATTGTTTTAATTTCAAAATTCTGTTTGAGATTATCCTTCTAGCTTTAAAATCGATGAATTATGTGGTGCATTGTGTTAATTAAAAGAGGGTCGTCATTATAAATAATTAATGTTTTGATTATAAGATAATGTACTAGTACTCCCTCCGTTCCACAAAGAGTGTCGTTTTAAGGTTTTATTTTTGTTTCACAAAGAGTGTCGTTTTAGGTTTTCAATGCAAAATTTAATGATTTTTTATGTTTTATGACTATTAGTATTCTGCAGATTGTTTTACTATTGGGCAGATTGTGTTTAAGTATATAGGTAATGATGTTTTTGTTTAGAAAAAACAAAAAATTTAATGTTTTCTTAATCTGTGTACATAACTCTAAAACGACACTCTTTGTGAAACAGAGGGAGTACTTTTTTCTTGATAATACGATAATGTAGTTCCAAGGTGTAATAATGCATTTGCTCTAGTATTTCTCAATTTCTCTAGAATATAATATTAATTGTTCCAAGTCTAGACCCAACATATAAACCCCACCATGCAACATATGTATTATTACGTGTATATAACTAACACTTAGCTTTGGTGTTCAACATTCTCATATCCACGAAAGCATAAATTCATAAACGTTGAAACATTTTTATTTCTCGATTGGAGCTAAAGATTGGTCAATAATGGAGATTGAATCGGTGACGTGCGAATGTTGCGGCTTAATGGAAGATTGTACACAACACTACATTAGTAAAGTCAAAGCTAACTTCGCCGGAAAATGGCTTTGTGGGCTTTGCTCCGAGGCGGTAAGCGACGAATTTAGCCGTAGTTCGAAGACGGTGGAGGAAGCTGTTAATGCTCACGTGTCGTTTTGTGGCAAGTTTAACGCTAACCCCGCAGAACTTGTCGCCGACGGCATGAGACAGATGCTACGAAGGAGGTCCGGTGAGTTATCACCGAAGACGTCCAAGAAGTTCGGAAGATCTAACACCACGTAATTTGTGTAGCCTATCTTTTTCTCACTTTTTGCCTTAAAGTTTTGGCTAATGTAAAATATAATAAAAGTAAGTGTGGCGATGATTGGTTGGAACCGTAAATTGTTTCTATATAATATACTCACCAGTAATCTCTGCAAGAACACAGACCGTCTTTATAACGGTGAAACCTAGTTCGATCTCTCACTATGATCTCCAGTTCATACACTTTAGAGACCAGCTTGAAGAACGCGTGACAATCCTCACACACCCTCAGATTCTTCACTATTCTAATAACACCGCACGAGCCTTTCTCTTCTTCTTTTTCCTTATTCATCAGACCGAAGCAGAGCGCAAGCTTTTCGCTATGCCATAGAACCAGATCCTTCTTTTCTTCCTCCTCTACATCCACCAAAACGCTACCACCATCTGGAACGTAACCGGCTAGCTTCAGTTTACTTACAACCTCGTATAGCTTCGTATAAATCTCATTTGATTGCTTATGCCTCTTGTCACCAATGAGAAACTCGTGCGATTTCCCGTTTAGGTCAATTCGGCTAAGACCTTTCTCCTTGAACACCTTCTTTTTCTCCATTATCCATCTTATGATCCTTACGTAGTCCCATCTATATTCTCTAGCATATATATTGGACATCAACACAAGAGCCCCGTCATGATCAGGCTCCAGTTTGAGGATACGTTTGGCTGCTAATTCGCCTAACTCAAGCTCACCGTGGACCCTACAAGCTGACATCAGTGATCCCCATATGACTACATTAGGCGCCATTGGCATTGATTCAATAACCTCAAGAGCTTCTCGTAAGAGATTAGCTCGGCCAAAGAGATCCACCATGCATCCATAATGCTCAATTTTTGGAGTAATGTTGTATTCATCAGTCATTGATGCAAAGATCTTTTTACCTTCTTCAACTAGTCCTGAGTGGCTACAACCATAGAGCACTCCCACAAAAGTAACTTCATTGGGCTCGACATTCTCCTGTTTCATTTGGGCGAATAAGCTAAGCGAATCACTGGCTTCCCCATGCATAGCAAAGGCATTGATCATAGAGCTCCACGATACTACATTCCTCGTTGGCATCTTCTCAAACACGTCTCTTGCTGCATCCAAACCTCCACATTTCGCATACATGTTAATGAGGGCATTATCTATTGGCAACACTGACTCCAACCCGTTAAGATGAGTGTAACGGTGAACCCATTTCGCTTTATCCAGAGTACCAAGGTTCACACAAGCTGATATAACACTCAACATGGTAACCACATCAGGTTTGATCCCAGAGCAACACATTTCCTCAAAAACTCTCAAAGCTTCTTGAGGATGATCACTTTCAGCATAAGCCGAAATCATTGTGGTCCAACAGACCAAATCTTTCATTTCCGTTTGGTCAAATATAACCCGAGCATCATCGAGTCTCCCAGCTTTTGAATACCCAGAAACCATGGCAGTCGAAACAAACAAATTTCTCACTGACATCTTCCTAAAAAACTCCATTGCCATATCCATACAGCCAGCTCCAGCATACATAGTAACAAGAGCAGTCAACAAATGAGTATCCATCCTAACATCATTCTCTATCAAAAAATCGTAAATCGCTCTGTTATATCTCATATTTCCAGTACGACCACATGCAGAGACAATGTTACATAGAATCATCTCATCTGGCATCACATTAGAATCCTTCATCTCCTCAAAAAGCTTAAATGCTTCATCTAAAAGACCGAATCGGCAATACCTACAAACAAGTTAAAGTTAACACCTTTAGAGAAAGATAAGAAAACATTGCACTCTGTTTATAATCCTAACCTCTCAATCATAGTATTCCACGTAACAACATCTCTTTGCGACATTTCGTCGAACACATTGCGTGCGTAATTAATTCTACCACAAGCCGCATACATATCCATAAGACCAGTCTCAACAAAAGGGTCAGACAAAGTCGCAATCTTGAACGCAAAGCCGTGAAGCTCCATTCCCTCGAACAAGGCCGAGACTTTCGAAACCGCTTTAAGAATCGGAGGGAAACTGATTCGATCAAAACGACCACCAACATGTCTAATCCTCTGATAGAACAGAATCGTTGCTCTAGGTTCACCGGAACGAGAGAGATCCCGGAGAAGAGAATTGAAGACAATGGATTCCGGTAGAGGGCTAATAGATGAGAAGAGATTGAGAGCGTAGCTGAGATTGATAGAGGAAGAAGAGAAGGAGAGATTAAAGAGAAAGGAGTTGAGTTTGTGGTTGATCACTGTACGAAGGATGTGAGCATGGAGTTGCTTGATGTGGTTGAGTGATTTGCAGAATGAGAGTTTCTCTAGAATTGTATTTGCGGCGGAGACGGCGAATGAAGGTCTCGGCGGCGGAAGAGTCATCGGCGTATGTGTAAAGTTAGCTACATTATACAATTGGACAATGCATGTTTTAAAGAAATTGAATATTACTGAAAATAGTTTTAAAGAATTTCAATAATATCTGAATATTTAAAAAAAAAAAAAAAAAAAAAAAGAAGATTTGTTTATAATATCTGATATAATCCTGAATTGTATCAATTTCTAAATCCATATTTTATATTACTGATATTTAAATTACCAAATTGAATATAGGAGAATTTTGACATATACAATTTCATAAATATTTTTTTTTCAATTTTAAATACTTTACTTTTGTAGTTTACATGTCATATTAAAAAATCTAAATTTCTTAATAGATAGAGGGTTTTTGGTACGTAGAATTGACTCTTAAAAGATAATATTTCTTGCGAACACAACAACTATGTCGAGTTCGGAAAACACCACATGGTGAACGGCTTCTCAACTATTCACGTTTATGTAAAGTAAACCGTTTAAAACAAAACTAATTTGAATTACAAACAAATTAAGAAAAAAAGATGGTTGGCTACACGAAGTATCTGCTAAGACATGGCCACACATGCAAAGTTTAAAAATGTATCTCTAACTACACAAATTATATGTATCGCATGCCCACATATACGAACTATATGTAGTCATGTTGCCAACATCACAAACATTTTTTTTCCGATACATTTTCGCCGGAATCCGGTATTGACCAGTTTGACCGGCGTTGACCGGCGTTGACGAACATAAATATTCAAAAAAAAAAAAAATTTAGTTTTTTAATATTTAGAAAATTATGTTATTGAATCATTTATAATATTATATAATTAAAATATATATACAATATTCAATATAAAAATATTTTGTATATATATTCAATGCATTGATTTTTATAATTAGTTAGTTTTGATACTTCAAAACTAAACTAAAAATAAAATAAAAACCAATTAGGTAAAAAAATTTAGTTTTTTAATATTTAGAAAATTATGTTATTGAATCATTTATAATATTATATAATTAAAATATATATACAATATTCAATATAAAAATATTTTGTATATATATTCAATGCATTGATTTTTATAATTAGTTAGTTTTGATACTTCAAAACTAAACTAAAAATAAAATAAAAACCAATTAGGTAAAAACCAATAGGAGAATTTTGACATATACAATTTCATAAATATTTTTTTTTCGATTTTAAATACTTTACTTTTGTAGTTTACATGTCATATTAAAAAATCTAAATTTCTTAATAGATAGAGGGTTTTTTGTACGTAGAATTGACTGTTAAAAGATAATATTTCTTGCGAACACAACAACTATGTCGAGTTCGGAAAACACCACATGGTGAACGGCTTCTCAACTATTCACGTTTATGTAAAGTAAACCGTTTAAAACAAAACTAATTTGAATTACAAACAAATTAAACAAGATTTTCAATCTAAATATATAATTTTCAATGTTATTAAAAACATAAAAGCACCCAATTTATTTGTTAACTAGAGTTACAATATTAGTTCCATCTAAAGCAAACTTAGATTTAGAAAGATCAAATCCCAAAAGTTTATCGTTTACATGAATCTTTTTTTTTTTTTTAATTATTATTATTGTATACAAAAACTTCTATGCAAAATTATTGTAAAACTAAATATCAAACTGTTAAAAATAAATTCACATGTCAAATTTGCAATATAGCTTGGAGTTTCGTTTCTAACATTTCCATGAGCTCCTTCATCTGCAACCTCTCATGCGCCAACGGCCAACCTCTCCTGCAGGCTGCACCACTAACTCCACAAGGCATCAAATACAATAAGAAACAACATTTATCGTGAAACCACCACTACCCAAAAAGTGGTGTTGGAGCGATTCTATTAAATTAGAAATCAACATCCATATATACAAGAGTCTATGTGTACTTTGTCTATTTTGGTAAAGACGAGAAATTTAATTCGATTTACAGAAAATTAATTTTTATAGACTTTGTGAAGAATGTCGAAATCCTAATAAACATTAATATGTGAACTACTCATTTGATTACTTAGAAGCATCATCTCCTTCTCCCAAGATGAAAAATAATATATTTGTCTTTTGTCTTTTTCTTAAGAATGTAAATTTTGGACTTTTATTTGGTTCATATGTCGATTGTAAGCCACACTGAGTAATTTTAAAAATATGTGGGTAAATAGTTTTTCTTTTTTTTTCGCTTTTTCTTTTTTTTTGCAATATGTGAACTTACCCATAAACTACTAATTTTATTAAATTATTTCCATCTACCTATATTAATGATTTTCTACCAAAATAGTTGATTTCATGATTTATTAAAAAAAGACCAATTACACTCAGATTCGCGCAGAGCCAATGATCATGTATATATAATGATTATAATTGTATACATTATACAGTATACTAGGAATTGACCCGCGGTACACCGCGAGACTATATTTTAAATAAAAATTAAAATGTAAATAATTTGAAGATTATATATAAATATAAACAATTAATTTGTATTTTTAAAATACTACCATATATATATATATAGTATACGGTTTGTATGTTTTAGTTTTTTTTTTAAATATAGATACGAAAACATACATTTGTTTAAGTAATGATGTATGGCGGATTTAAATTTTATTATTTTAATATTATGTGTTTTTGTTTTTAAGATAATATCCTTTAAATTAAATAGTTAATTTTATGAATGTAAACAATGTGATTAATTAGGCAGCAAAGTCTCTTTGACCATATGACTTCCAAAAAAAAAAAAAACTTATTTTACCCTTAATGGTTAATGAGGCTTCTAAATTATCCGCATGTTGTTACAATTATTTACAAATGTGAATAGTTTAAATTTGCTGATTAATATCGATAGTTTTTGTTTTCTTAATATTTGATTAAATATACAAAATAGATTTGATAACTTTTTGTTTTGGGTAATATTACTAACTAGCCAAATTTGACACATAATTAAGAAACTAGCAGAGAGAAAATTTTATGTCGGAAAACAGCATGGACCCACCTTGTCTGAAGATGTGAAATAACAAAACCATCCTCCGTTTGTTTTGAGATCTACAGTAGGCGACATTGTTTCGTGATATTTTTCAAAATAGCATGTAAGATCTAAATTTCACATGTTATATTTAACTAAAAAACATGCTATTTAAAAAAACATAGTGAATTTTTAAGAAAAAAATATTGTTATGTAGTGTTTTTAAAAAAAAAAAAAATTGTTACGGAAAAATTAAACTTGAATAGAATCTTTTTATAAAGAAATAACATGTGATCTTAATAAAAACCGTGAATTACTAGAAAATAAGAATCTTTTTTTATAGAAATCACATGTGATCATAATAAAAAAATGTGTATTACTACAAAATAATATGATAGAGAAAGATATTAAACTGAATAGAGTGTTTTTTCAAAGAAATAACATGTAATCTTAATAAAAAACCGTGAATTACTAGAAAATAAGAATCTTTTTTTAAAGAAATCACATATGATCATAATAAAAAACGTGTATTACTACAAAATAACATGATAGAGAAAGATATTAAACTGAATGGAGTGTTTTTTCAAAAAAATACTATGTGCTCTTTATAAATAACGTGTAATATCGGAAAATAATATGATAAAAAAGAGATATATTATTCTATCACATGTAATTCGAGAAAAAAACATGTTATAAAGGGCATGTATGTAATTACACGTGCTTTCCGACATCAAACAGACAAGGTACTGTAGCTCATGGCTATTTTCTTAATTATCCTCAAAATTTTGGCTATTTTGTGTATATTCTCTTTTGTTTTTGAATGCATGAAACAATATTTTCGAAGATATTAATGTTAATGGGTTTCCATTTTCCAAATATTGAGAGATTATTATAGATTGTTTTCTGTTTTGTGTATGTATATTTATTTTAAATAACGTGCATTAAAAGCGATAATTAAGGGATTGAACTTTTGTTAGAACTTGATAGCCATAATTAATGGAGATGTGAGAAAATTTGTTATCGATTTTGTCATTAAATTGTCATATAATTCATCGTTGGTAAAATAATGTGTGGGATAAGTCTAATATGTTAGGGTCAAAAATCAATAAAGATTTATAGTCTTCTAAAGTTTTTTAGAGAATAATGTTAATTACACTTCCATCTATAATGAAACGAAAGAAATATATTCCTCATTACAATGCTACAAAACCGGATGTCAAATCTTGAATTTGTACAATCTTTGATTTTAGTAACTTAATGTATTGGATTTGATGTTTTTATATATGGTCGTAGTTGTTGTAATACAACTAAGTATCTGTTAAAAAATCTTGGATTTCAGTGCCATTTGGATTTCAGTTACTAATAAATCATTCAATTAGTAGTCATATTCATTTGTTAAAATTGTCTAGAATAATGTTTCGGTTACCATATCTTTTTCTTAACAATATGCATGTTTATTAATTTAATTTCGAGTTTCTAATATTTTTTTAAGAGATTATTTGCAGATCCGCGCGTCCCATAATCCCGCTGTAAAAAACTCTTCTGCCCATCATTGTCTCAACAACATACAAGCCCATTGCACAATGTTGAATCCGTTACCATACGACACAAACGACGGATCTAGCGCTTTCTTGACCGATAGCAGCTCTAGAAGCACCACTCCGTAGCTGTAAACATCCGCTTTATCCGATATCCGGCAAGTCATGGCATACTCAAGCGCTACATACCCAAACGTACCCGCCACACCTGTTGTTGCATGCGTTTCCGATGTCCCAAGCAATCTTGCTAACCCAAAATCTGATAAATAAGCGTTGCAATCATCATCTAGGAGGATGTTGCTTGGTTTAACATCTCGGTGAAGCACCAGTGGGACACATCTGTATTTAGTAGCACTATCATAAATAGCAAATTTTATTTTATATGTATTTGCAATTATAAAAAAAAAAAAAAAAAAAAAACCAAAAAAGAGAGGGAGAGAGTACATACCATGGTGAAAGTAGTTCTCCCAAACTTGTCTTTATTTATAAGGAGAGGGAGTGTGTCAAGCAATTTAGGTTTAACAAAAAAAATCTAGAAAACATAAATGATATTGTCATTTAGTATCTTAACAAAGTAATTAATTATTTTGTATCTTTAACGATTTTGGTATTAAAAAAATATTTAAGGAAATTAAAAAATGTTGCATTTGGAAACATTTAGCATTAATCAGAATATTTGAGATTTTAAAACAAAAAAAACGGAAAAAGGGTTTAGACTTTCCAATTAGGATATTTCAGCATTAATGTAAATCGTATTAGCATATCTGTATTAAAAATCAGTATCTTACTCAAATATATTATTAAGGGATTTCAAAATTTAAGGAAGGTAGGATACATAAGGTTTAATCGAGATTATAGGAAAGATTTTGTTTTCTTAATATCTTTAATTATTTTTAAAAAAAAATTAGAATTAATGTCAATGGCATAAGTTGTAAATACTTCTCAACTCTAGGATTTATTTGCTAAATGTACTCCAAAAATGTATGTATAGATAGATGCTTTCGTACTTTCACTACAATGTCATTCATCCTAACTTTTTTTAGATTCAAATTTTACATTCCATTGACGTGACAATGATTTAATTTTTTTTATATTTTCCTAAATCTTTAGTTATATTAAATTATGATATAACTGGTTTTTTTTTTTTTGTCATCCGAAATTTATATAATTGGTTATTTCACACAGATTAATTAGGAAAATGGCAAATGTAAATTTTGTTTTGCATAATTTACAAAAATGCTCACATTTTAACACAAAACTTTCAACATTTTTTCAATTTTTATATTCTCAAAGTGATTGGTATACTTAATAAAAAATTTAAACTGCAAACACACATAAACAAAAAAAAGTTTCATATGTTTTGACCAAAAATGTAGAGTTAAAAACTTTATATATAAAAACTATACAAGTATAAATCCATCAGACCATGACCAATCGAACAATATACATTACCACACGTAACTCTGCTGTAGAAAATGACGATTCTTTCTCTCCTGTCTCTTGGCTCCTTCAAGAATCGCAGCTTCTGTTTTCGTCAACCAAAAAATGCTTATCCATTTCTTAAAAATCATCACTTAATTATGGGTTGCCTAATTCTAATCACAAATCCAAATTCAAGAGTGTTTACTTTAGGGTTTCTCTGGTTATATACAGAGCCGTAGCTTTCTGGCAATTTTGATTCCCACCAAAAAGTTTTATCACTTTTGATCATATTCGTCTCATCTTTTCTCCTATTAATCTTTGACCCAATTGCTTCTTTATCACTCTCACAAAAAAAAACCATGAGAATCCACCCATTACCTAGAAACAGCAACAACAACATTCTGATCCATCACGCTCGTGATCCGACCCGAGAACCGGGAAAGAAGCTCCGACGTCTCCCACATATCTTCAGCCGTGTTCTAGAGCTGCCCTTGAAGTCAGACGCTGACGTGGCAGTTGAAGAGAGTCATGATTGCTTCAGGTTCGTCGCGGAAACAGATGGTGGTGGAGGAGGAGGTGTGAGGGCTTACATGGTTGAGATTCATCCTGGTGTGGTCAAGATTCTGGTGAGAACCAATGGTTCTTCGTCTCTTGGTTTGTCGCTTGATGAGCTTGAGCTTGACGTGTGGCGTTTCAGGCTACCGGAAGCAACTAGGCCTGATCTCGTGACCGTGGATTGCGACGGCGATGGAGAATTGATTGTCACTGTGCCTAAGATTGAAGACAACGGTAGAGATTTGATAGTGCTTGTACAGTAATCTAATGTGATAGTGATCAAATGAGAAAAATCTTGACTTTTTATCTAATGGCATCAAAGTTAAGATCTTTTTGCTGCTATTATTTCACATTGGAGTATGAAAATGGATACAGAGAAAATTTGGCATGTTTCAAGAGTTTTGCCTTGTGCAACACAATATAATCTAAAATGGTTTAGAGATAAAATCCTTTGAGTGGGGCAAATTTATTGAGGATCTCTGCTTCGCGTTTAAGAGCATTGTCTTTCTTCAGTTCCCAATCGGGTTTCTTCGAGTTAGCTGCTTGAACTTCTTGTACCACTTTAGGGATTGAGTTCGCTACCATTTTCTGACCATAGCTTAGATCAACCTTCTCTTTCTCCTTGTTACTGATGCAGTGGGTTAGCTCGGTCCGTCTAGCTTGAAGTTGCGCGATTTGTTCGTCAATTTGACGGATTGTCTCTGTGCTTGTATCGACTTCCGTCTGGATATTGCCTAGTTTGTCCTTTAAGTCGCTGTATTCGTACTTGAGAGATGCGACTTTCGATTTGTTAAGCTCGAGAGCGGAGAAGAACCTATCTGCTTCTTCTATAACACTTTTGTTCTCTTGAAAAACTTCGCTGAAAGTTGGAATCTCTTCGATAAGCTTCAATCTCACTATTTCTTCAGCTGAAAGGCTTGGATCTAGCCTCAGTTTAGCTGCCAAGCTTGCCATCTCCGTAGCTTCATTAGACATGAACAAGGAGGAGAAATCTTTCTCCAGAAGCGATGAAAGCTTCGTCCGAGCTTCTGCCCATTCGTGTTCTCTCATTGGAGAGCTCGCACTAACGGGAAGAGATGATGAAGACTCTTGTCCCGCTTCTGAAGGCTGTTCTTGAAGAAGGTTCTCTAGAGAGTTCAGATAACTGTCAAACTCTTCTGGGTTTATATCCACAAGAGGGTGGGAGACCGAAAGGACACCATTCATAGGGGAAACATAGATATGAGGAACCAAAGCTTCTTCTTCTTCATCAGCATAGTTACCTCTGCGTTTCTTCATTCTCTTGCTGCCTTTATTTGCATCTGATTCCTTATTTTCTTTGGTCAAGTCAACCACATCACCTTGTTGCTGTCTTGTGAAGCGTCTCGAGGAAGATTCCCGAGATGACTTATGTTTGGCTTTCTTTTTCCTGTTGCTAGCTCGCGGAGTTGCTTTAGTCTTTTCTTCAACAGGTTCATTAGTCTGTATCTGCACCGGTTTTCTCTTCCTCTGGCTGTAACGCGAAGTTGATCCTTCCTTTTTTACATCCTCGGCAACCTCATCTTGATTCTTTCCTTCTTTGGATGTCTCTTCAAACAGAGACGCAGCATCAACTACAGAAACCGAAAAAGGAAACATCATTCATGTGTTGCAAATAGAGTTTTATGGCTGACGCAAAGGAAGGAAGAGCTTTACTACCTTTATTAGCGGGCTGAAACAAAGCCGGGATATTCCAGCTAAAAGATGCAAAGAATGCATTAACATCCATATCAGGGAAGTTAGTTTCGAGATAACGCCAAAGAGTGTTTTTGCCAGTAAAATATTTGGGTGCATTCTTGCTCTTAAGCCTCTCCGGGAGAATGAGAAACCGATCCTTATGGATCCCGTTATTAGTCACTCTCCTCCCAACTCTCCAAGTCCAAACATCACCGGGGCTCGGGCAATCGACAGGTGCAAACGGCAAACCTTGACCACTAGAAACCGGCGGAATCGCCGGGAGTTGATTCAAATCAGTTTCCCCAGGAGTGAAGGAGCTTCCATTGCCATTGACCTTCACATGATCACCATCATCTTCTCTATTAAATCCGTTTTCCCGAAAATCGTCTTTCTCAACCATGACTGGTTCAGTCTCCTTGTCATTACTCATTGTCACTGATTCACCATCAAATCTGTGCAGGTTCATAAATGTGATTGAATCAAATAACATGGTTACATTGCAGTTATAATCACATAGATTAATTACTCTATTCCCATAAAACAAAATTGATCATGACTCAAATTTTCCTAGAATCAATGCAGAGAAACTTATACACAAGTGTAAACAAATTGATAGTTCTTAATGAATTAAATTTACCTAGGAGAATTTTGACCTATCTCTTGATCCATATCCATCGAAGCAGACCAAAAACCCTAATTCCTGCGATAGAGAAACACCTAAATAAACAAAACAAAGGGTGAATTATAATCTATAACAATGTTTTGGGGACAAAATCACACAAATTAAAAGTTGAATCGATTAGAAATTTTTGCAGAATACGCATAAAGGTACGAACTTTGATGACTCAAGAACAGAGTACGAACTTTGATGACTCAAGAACAGAGTAGCCGATCTTAAGCTCAACTACAAAGATTACAAATTTATCAAGTTCACTCGATTCTTTATATATAATCTTTCGATCAGATTAGTCCTAGAAACGGGTGGAAATTACCATTATACCCTTTAATTGGTTCTTCTTCTTCACACAGAGGAAGAAATTACCATTATGCCATTCAATGTTTCTTCACCGGCCTGAAAGTAAAAGCTATGACCTTTCCGATCTCCGGCGTTAGTTATGAGCCTCCTAACCGCGGACGCACTTGGGTTACTTCTCAAGAATGCAATCTCCACGAGCTCCATGCGTTTGGGTCGCGTCGTTCACGCCAGAATCGTTAAAACCCTCGATTCACCACCACCTCCGTTTCTCGCAAACTATCTCATCAACATGTACTCAAAACTCGACCATCCCGAATCAGCCCGACTCGTTCTCCGACTCACTCCTGCGCGAAACGTCGTCTCTTGGACCTCACTTGTCTCCGGACTTGCTCAGAACGGTCATTTCTCCACCGCTTTGTTTGAATTCTTTGAAATGCGACGAGAAGGTGTTGCCCCAAATGACTTCACTTTCCCTTGTGTTTTTAAAGCTGTGGCTTCTCTGCGTTTACCTGTTACTGGGAAGCAGATTCATGCGCTTGCTGTGAAGTGTGGAAGGATACTTGATGTGTTTGTTGGGTGTAGTGCTTTTGATATGTATTGTAAGACTAGGCTTAGGGATGATGCACGGAAGTTGTTCGATGAAATTCCTGAGAGGAACCTTGAAACTTGGAATGCTTATATATCTAACTCTGTGACTGATGGAAGGCCTAAGGAAGCTATTGAAGCGTTTATTGAGTTTAGAAGGATTGGTGGGCAACCGAATTCGATAACGTTTTGCGGTTTTCTTAATGCTTGTTCGGATGGGTTACTTTTGGATTTAGGAATGCAAATGCATGGGCTTGTGTTCCGAAGTGGGTTTGATACAGACGTTTCAGTGTACAATGGGTTGATCGATTTCTATGGAAAGTGTAAGCAGATTCGTAGCAGTGAGATTATCTTCGCTGAAATGGGAATGAAAAATGCTGTTTCTTGGTGTTCATTGGTTGCTGCATATGTGCAGAATCATGAGGATGAGAAGGCGTCTGTATTATATCTACGTTCAAGGAAGGAAATTGTTGAGACCTCTGATTTTATGATTTCAAGTGTTCTGAGTGCGTGTGCTGGTATGGCAGGTCTTGAGTTGGGAAGATCGATACATGCTCACGCTGTGAAGGCGTGTGTTGAAAGGAATATTTTTGTTGGAAGTGCCCTCGTTGACATGTATGGAAAATGCGGATGCATAGAAGATTCAGAACAAGCGTTTGATGAGATGCCTGAAAAGAACTTAGTGACTCTGAATTCATTGATCGGGGGATATGCTCATCAGGGTCAGGTTGACATGGCATTGGCGTTATTTGAAGACATGGCACCACGTGGATGCGGTCCGGCTCCAAATTATATGACGTTTGTGTCCTTGCTTTCCGCTTGTAGTAGAGCAGGGGCTGTGGAAAATGGTATGAAGATTTTTGATTCGATGAAGAGTACTTATGGCATTGAGCCAGGGGCTGAGCATTATTCCTGCATCGTGGACATGCTAGGGCGAGCGGGAATGGTAGAACAGGCTTTTGAATTCATTAAAAAAATGCCAATTAAACCGACAATTTCGGTTTGGGGTGCTCTTCAGAATGCTTGTAGGATGCATGGTAAGCCACACCTCGGAATACTAGCAGCTGAGAACCTTTTCAAACTTGACCCTAAAGATTCAGGCAACCACGTTCTGCTTTCGAATACGTTTGCAGCGGCTGGGAGGTAAGTGAACCGTATTGAAAGTTTCAATTTTTCATTCATCTTGTTAGGCTGAAATCATATTATAAGCTACTCAAAAGAATTCCACAATGCATTCTAAACTAGAGCAAACCAAATGTTCAGAAGATAAACATAACTAGGATTATCTGAGCATTATTTGAATCCGGTGCTTACCCTGTGTTCTGTGTGTGCTTTTAAGTTTTTGGATCGAATTGGACTTAATGCAAAGGATTGTTCTTCTAAGTAGATTAAACATGTGTTAAGCATGTATCAGGAGAGACCAACAATTTTATTTTTGTCGGTTATGAATTCGAACTATATTATAACCGATCAACAATAGGTGGGCGGAAGCCAACACCGTAAGAGAGGAGATGAAAGGCGTAGGAATCAAGAAAGGAGCCGGGTACAGTTGGATCACAGTGAAGAACCAAGTCCACGCCTTTCAAGCGAAGGACAGATCCCACAAAATGAACAAAGAAATTCAGACAATGCTGACCAAGCTAAGGAACAAAATGGAGGCTGCAGGGTACAAGCCCGATCTGAAACTCTCACTTTACGATCTGGAAGAAGAAGAAAAAGCAGCAGAAGTCTCGCACCACAGCGAAAAACTAGCTCTAGCATTTGGCTTGGTTGCTTTACCACTCAGTGTCCCAATCAGAATCACCAAGAACCTTAGAATCTGCGGAGATTGCCACAGCTTCTTCAAGTTTGTCTCAGGGAGTGTTAAAAGAGAGATCATTGTGAGAGACAATAACCGGTTTCATCGGTTTAAAGATGGGATATGTTCTTGTAAGGATTATTGGTAATCTTTATTAGTTTAGTTTGTTAAACATTTTGTAAAACTATAAAGAAAGTCAACATATATATCTTTGTATTAGAACTTAATCGAATATGATCAATCTTCTAGTTTCAAGACTTGGTAAAATCCGCGTTATAAATAAATTTAAAAATTGGATCCAGCTACGTTATGGATATTGCATTCGATCACTACGTGACCTCCTCTTAAGTCTTAATACACATATTTTTGCATGTATAAATAAGGAAGAAGCTTATCTCTCTACTTAATCACATTTGATTAAAAACTAAACTAACCAAAAAAATGTCTAATTTTCTAAGGAAGAAGCTTCACCTTTGCTTCTCCTCCTCCGGTGTTCTCTCACCGGCAATTCCTTCTTCTCCGATCATCGTATCCAATCACAACCGCCCATCTCATCATCACACTCCATCACTCTTCATTAACAACTTCAATTCCCTCTACGATCACCTCTCTGTTTCCTCACCCCTCCACCGCCGCCACAGTTCTGATAACCCCGCCGGAATCTTCTCCACTAACCGCCGCGACGAAGAAGAAGACGAGACCTCCGCAGCCGTGTCAAAGCTTTTAAGCAGCGGAACGGCGATTATGAAGCACATAGAGTCACCGGATCCGTACAGAGATTTTGGAAGATCAATGAGAGAAATGGTGGAAGCAAGAGATTTAACGAGAGACGTCGTCGCCGATAGAGAATACTTACACGAATTGTTATTCTGTTATCTCTCGTTGAATCCGAAACACACTCACAAATTCATCGTCTCTGCTTTCGCCGATACACTCCTCTGGTTACTTTCTCCGTCGTCGTCGCCGGAGCACTTTTTATCCTAATGGCATTTTTATTCTAATTTAAATTCTTCTCAATTATATATTTGGGCCTGTGGGCTTTAAAAGGCCCATAATTGTAGTAACTCTTACTATACTCATTGCTGTATCTGATCATTACTTCAGATATCTGAATTATCCACAAAAATCTAAAATCGAAAGCATTTTTTTTTCCCAATTTCGAAAAATGTCATTAACCGCACAATTCTCGCCGCCGGTCACCGGAAAAACCAGGAGCGTCCGGGATTTGAAATCTCCACCGTCCTCTCTCCGTGTATTTCCGGTTTACACTGATATCAGAACTCCAGAGATGAGAAGTCTTAAGAAATCGTCGTATCAAGTGGCTAAGGCTATCGAACAAAGACGAGATACAGCTGGATCTGAATCGGAGTCAGAAGCGACTCCGTCACCGGCGGAAGAGAGTGGAAACGGAGGAGATAAGGAAGTGGAGATTAACGCAATCGGAGCAGAGATAAAAGCGGCGATGGAGCAGAGGAAAGCGGCGGAGGAAGAGAAAGGAAAGAACGAGTTTCTTAGTGGAGTTGCGGAGGAAGTGAAGGAGATTGAGTGGCCGGCGTTTCAGAAAGTTCTCGGAACTACCGGCGTCGTGCTCGGTGTTATCGCTGGCTCTAGCGTTGTTTTGCTTACCGTCAATTTCCTTTTGGCTGAACTCTCTGATCGTGTGTTCATCGGAAAAGGTGTTCAAGACTTCTTCAGTTGAAAATGGTAAAATTTGTGTGTACAATTTTAGTGATTGCAATGAGAAATTTGAAACATTGTTGATTTTGTGTAGATGATAAAGAGAATTATCAGAATCACTGCTTTTGCAAAAACTCGTATTAGCAATCTGAAATTTTATTAACAACGTGTGGTTCACAAAAGAAATAGAGAAAATCTAGTTTGATTTTTTATTGGCACACAAAAGAAGAAGATACATATGGAAGCAAAGACGCAATGTAACTAAAGATGAAGAGTCTCTATAGGAGAAACTAAACATCTCTTTTATTTCGGCGTCTCTTAAGAAGAAATGGAGAATGTTTTAAGCCTCGAAGGTCATGGATTCCGCTTCTTTCCTTGTCGCATCGAATAGTACGGTTGATAGATACCTCTCCCCGAAACTCGGGAATATCGCCTGTAAAAATATATCAGTTGATTTCGTTTACATTAGAATCAGAAAGAAAAAAAAAATAAGGACTTTCCCTGTTTTGTAATCAGAGCTTTTTGGCTTTGGGGTGATGATAGAACCAAAGAGCTTACCACAAAAAGCTTCCCGGCGTTTTCTGGCCTCTGTGCAAGTTTGATTGCTGCAGCAGCTGCTGCACCAGATGATATTCCCACCTACAGTTTATAGCTTTTGATTTGAGAAACACTATGTGCTGATAAATAACTTAAGGTCGATCTAGATACCCTTTTTCATTATGAAATAGAATCTGCGGTCAAACCGATAACATACAAACGACTGATCAACAGTTTAAACCTATGTGCTCAACTTATCTAGGCAAAGAAAGATCAGGGAAACAATACGAAGTTGTAATTCTGATCGAGATAACTTTTTTTTGTTGTGAAATGTGAAACACTTACAAGAAGACCTTCTTTAAGAGCAAGCTGCCTTGCCATGTCAATGGATTCATCACTTGAAACCTGTAGAAAGTGTTACAGGAAAAATGGAGAGTTGCAAGTAAGACATGTAGTTCTCTCTTACACTCAATGTGTTTTTCTATCAGTGAGATAATATTGAAAAGCAGTCATACCTGCACAACTTCATCAATAAGATCAACATTCAATACACTTGGTATAAAACCAGCTCCAATCCCTTGGATCTTGTGAGGGCCTTGACATTTTCAACAAAAATCATGTGTTAGGCAACTCCGAGAAACAAAAGATAAGACATGAGGCAAACCAAGGAACGAGGAACATGCATGATATATGCAAGAATAAATCATCCTCAAAAATCCGAATCTACTAAACGCAGGGGGAACCAAAATCACCTGGCTTCCCACCGGAGAGAATAGCGCTTTCAACTGGCTCCACTCCATACAGCTGACATAAGAGGAAAAAAATGAGAAAAAGTGCAAAGATACACCACTTAGATAACAAAGCCAATTGTATGAGAAGATGGAGCACTCACTTTTACGTTTGCGTTCTGTTCTTTAAGATACTTCCCAGCACCTGTAATGGTACCACCAGTACCAATCCCAGAAACAAAACCATCGATTTTGCCACCAGTGCCTTTCCATATCTCAGGTCCAGTAGTTTCATAGTGGATCTGCATTGGACAGTGAAATTGCATCAACTCAATATGGCTCAAAATAAGACAAACCAGATAAACTAAAGCACTAGTAATTAATAAGCATACCTTAGGGTTAGCAGGGTTCTCAAACTGTTGGAGCATGTAACCGTTGGGTGTTTTCGCCAAAATCTCTTCCGCCTTTGCGATAGCACCTTTCATGCCCTTAGCAGGGTCAGTTAAAACCAACTCAACTCCAAAAGCTAAGAGAATGATTCTTCTCTCAATACTCATCGAAGCTGGCATGGTAATAATAAGCTTGTATCCCTTGGCAGCTGCCGTGAATGCTAACCCAACTCCAGTGTTTCCACTTGTTGGCTCAATCAGCACACTCTAAAGAACAAACTAAAAAGTCAAACACACAGCTGGACAAACAAAAAAAAACCTTTAGTGGTTTTAACCTCTCCTGGTTTGATGAGACCCTTCTTTTCTGCATCAGAAATCATGCTGAAACCAATCCTGCAAGAAGAAACAAAACACAAGGTATTCACAAAACCGAGACTCGAAGAGCATAGAGTTCTGGAAAAAAGTAGAAACCTGTCTTTAACGCTAGAGCATGGTTCCATCATCTCAAGCTTAGCAGCAACACGACCAACACATCCTTCAGCAACATTGTTCAAATACACCAATGGAGTGTTCCCAATCAACTGCAAAAAGTAAACAAAATCAACCAATACATGAACATGGAACAAAACTCACTCCTTTGAAAATGAACAGTGAAAGAACTTGAGAGCTTACTTCAGTCACATCTTTAGCAATTCTAGAGGCCATGATTCAAGCTTCACTGCTTAATTCACAAAAGACCAAAGAAATAAATCACCGTCAAATATCCGAATCAATTAATCAAAACACATCAAACACAAATCTACAGATTTAACAGCGAAGTTAGCTTAATCCGATACGATTAGCAGATCCAAACAAATATAATCGAAATAGAGGAATAAGCAAGTGAATCAAAAGGTATGGGAAGAGGAAGAAGATGATACCTGAATGAGAAAGTCAATAACCTTGACCCGAATCGTTTTGAAGAAAAATGGAGATATCGTATGGAATTAGAAAACGTAGAATGATGATTATGAATATGGCTCTTTTACAGATGTCATTCACATGTTTTCGATATAAAAAACGCGGTGGTTGGTTACCAAAACTGCTTCCCGGTCTGATTTGGTCACATCCGGTTATTTCCGGTTCAAACTCACCCAACCTGGACATTAATAGAATTCGGTTTGCATTTAAATGAATGAATTTCGATTTCCGGTTTGATTTAGTTTGGTTCGGTTTTATCATCAATCTTATCTCCGTAGACACCACAAAAGTAGTCATCACTCTCACTCTAACACAAACTCTTTTGTCTCTGTCTCTCTGTCTCTCTGTCTCTCATGGCGACTCTTCCTCTCCCGACTCAAACTTCCACAATCTCTCTCTCTAAACCTTATCTCACCAATTCCTTTTCCTTCCCACTCCGTAACGCAACATTTTCCACAACACCAAATCGCCGGAACTTTCTCACCGCCGGAAGGATCGTGGCTCAGTCATATAAAGTGGTGGTGGAGCACGACGGAAAGACGACTGAATTGGAAGTCGAACCAGACGAGACGATTCTATCGAAGGCTCTTGAATCCGGCCTTGACGTTCCCTATGACTGTAACCTCGGCGTTTGTATGACTTGTCCGGCTAAGCTTGTGGCCGGAACGGTGGATCAGAGCGATGGGATGTTGAGTGATGATGTGGTGGAACGTGGCTACGCGCTTCTATGTGCTTCGTATCCAACTTCAGATTGTCACATTAAGATGATCCCTGAGGAAGAGCTTTTGTCTCTTCAGCTTGCCACTGCCAACGACTGATCCATCTTCTTGATTAGTTTAAAGAGCAGTCTTTTTGGTGTAATACTTTTGTAACGAATCTTGCTACGAGACTTTGAAATCTTAATTTCAAACAAGGAAATGGAATTTCAAACATTTTAGTTTGATTCAATGAGCTAAAACAAACAGTGATACATAACATAATCAACAATACTAGTTTCTGACTTAAGAGGAATCTAAGTACTGAACTATTGAAATATTAAGAAAGTGAATAGATATGTAATAAACACACAAGAGGGTAGACTAATTCAGAGCCAGAGAGTGAGAGTGTTAGCTACAAATTTTAAGATATAACGAAAGAGAGATTACAACAAAACGACGTAGAGACAAAACGTAGACACCAGAGATCAGTGGTTGGGTTACTTACCATCTTCTTTTTCCTTTGTCATTGTCTAATCAGTAGTAAGCATGCTGAATATGGTGGTGGTGGTGCGGGTGAGGATGGTAAACTGGAGGGGGTGGAGCAGCCACCGGACTGCAGTAGGTACCATATGCTGCCGGATAACTGACAGGAGAAGCTTGGTATGACCCATGAACCGCCTCGGGTGAGTATTGGTATGGAGGGCTCCTGTTGCTATAGATGGTAGGTGGGGATGTGGTGTATGATGGTACAGCGTACTGAGGTGAGTGGCTTGGGGATCTGATGAATGTTGGTGGAGGCGGTGGGAAGGAGGAGACGTAGGCGTTTGTGATACGCCCTGCTTTGGCTGGTGGCATTGGACCGTTGTAGCTTGCTCGGGTTCTCTTGTTGGCAGGAATCGCTGCTGGTTTTCTCTTCTCGGTTTTAGTCTTCTCTAGCTGATCCAACCGTTTCTTGAGATTATCGGGTGGGAATTCTTCCTCGAGTTTGTATTCTTCTATGCATTTTAAGACTGCTCTGAGTGCTGATTGCTCCTTGCGCCCCACAAGATGCTAGGAAAATATAAACAATTTGTCAAGAGGTTTATAGATTTACCCATAGACATTGGTAAGAGAGTGTGGAAGAAACAGATTACGGACTCCAGAAAAGCCTGCAAATGGATCTAGAAAAGAAAAACTTGCGACTAATCTGATATAAACAGTAACACAAATGGAAGGAAATACCGCAGATCGGCCAGGATTGTTGGAATCCTCTGTGATCAAAGCTGTTGCTTTCTTTGCATCCCTCAGATAAGCTTTAAGCAAAGGAACAGGAGGGAATTTGTGCACAAGACCAACTTCAAAAGTGAAATGAACCGCATCAAGCTGTTGTCCCCTGAAGATCAACTCTTCAATCATATCTGGGTAAAGCCATAACAACCCAAAAGTCAAAACCATCACTCACCATTTCAGATACTACTCCCAAGTTCTCATGAGACAACAGCGAAATCCAAGTAAAAACATCTAAAGTTGGGTAGCTAACAACAGGTTACATGAAGTTAAACATAGATTCACATGAACTAGTACCAAAAAGAACTGAGAAACTACCAGGCATTTGGTCACCCAAACCAACTGAAACAGCAAGCTTAGGCATCTGTTTACGCCAAGCTGAACCAACCACAAGCTTCCTATAGAGAGCAAGATCATCCTTCTTCACAATCCCAAATGTCACAAGATGTTGCAGAAACGTATGAACATCAGGTATTTTCACATTCTCAATCCCTCCTCTCTCTTCCAAGCTCGCCTTCCACGTCTCAGCAATCTCCTTAGCTCTCTCCTTCACGCTCGGAGTTACAAGCAGCCGAGAGTTACCCATCACTGGATCAACCATAACTGGAATCAAACTTTCAAGAATCACCACACAAGCCCATCCAAAATCATTGCTCACTTTCTCTCCACCGCCTCTTTTATCCACCGGAAAAACCTCAGATACAGCTTCCAGTACTAACTTCGGCGGATCCACACAATCAACCAACGCCACCGGAATCTGTGACCGGAGATTCTCCACTTCCTTCTTCCTCGCAATCACAAACTCCCAGAATCCTCTTGCGTCCATCTTCAAACAAAGCAATTTCAACGCCGATAGAATCCCGTCGCCGTCGTCAACCTCTCCGGTATCGTCCTCATCCGCGGCTCTAGCTTTCTCCAGTGAATCCAACACGGCTCTAGCTCGTTCCTCAACTTTCCCCGCCGCGATCTCAACGCTGTGGTCTATAGTCACTTCACGATGCTTGAGTAACTCAATCGAGTTCTGCGTTTGATTATCTAGGGTTTCAATCATCTGTTTCAAAGCTTCAGATTTCTTCATCAGATTCTGCTCCATCGAAGTGAAATGCTCAGAGAGCTCCTTCCATAGAAGATTGCAGCTCGTCATCAGAGAAGTCTGCTTCTGAAACTCAACGAAACTCGGCTGAGCTGACTCGATCAACTCTCCTGGATCGGGAGAAGACTCCATCTCCGGTTAATCGGACGGTGAAGAAACTCAAAAACTTTGGTCGATTTTGCAGAGAAGAAGGTAACAAAGTGAAGAAGAAGGACTGATTTTTTGTTTTGCAGAAAAACCTAAAAATGGAAATAGTATAATAAGAAAAGAATGATGACGGGGATTAGTCAGAAGATGACACGTGTAATGGCGTCTGTAACTATGGCGCGATAATGACAGCCATCTAAACTGCGCCTAGTGTGCGTACTTTAATGACGGCAGCAATAGCACCAAACTCCCGATTGGTTGTTGCTAACGTGAGCGGATAACGCGTATGATATATGTTTGAAAAGTTGTGGTAAACCGGAATTTTTTATCGGTTTAAGGGAACCAGAAAAGGAAAAGGAAGGAGAAAGAAGTGGGCCAAGCCCAGTGACCACCACATGCGTTGAGTCAGAAGACAGTGAAGCATTGCCGGCATAAATGTATGCAAAATTGTACTTTACGAAATTTTAATTTGGTAATAAAACGTATATTTTTAAAAAGATATAAAAGAGAATGTTGTTACTATTTTTTTTTTCCAAGAAAAAAAAAATGGAAGTACGTATATGGAGATGAACTTGTAGATGGTGCAATGAAATAGGCATGCGTTAGAGTGTTGGACCCAATATTTGTGTTTGTAGACGTGATGATTAAGTAACCACAAAACCTTTTTTACACTAATTATTAGTGTTTTTACATAGTGTACATAATTTAATCACAGTATATGACCAGAGATTCATAACTAAATTCAGACTAATCCTTTTTTGGTAAGATTGTCAAAAAATCGTCAGTTTTAAAAAAATGCCAAAAAACCTTTACTTTGTCTCCGGTAAAATAATTTTCTAACATTTGTTGAATTTTATTTTAATCGTTAATTTTTGTTGACTTTCCATTTGAATTGCTAACTTTCGTTGAATTTACCAAATAAATAACATCGTTAAATTGACTAACTACAAAATTTAACAGAGCTAAATTTCCGTTGAATTCTCTTTTAAACCAACGATGTCGTTTTGATTATAAAATAACTCAAAAAAGAAACTAATTTCCGTTATAGAGATAGATTTATTCGAGAGGTAAGAGGTTCAGTTATACTCAAAAAAGAGTTATTATATCACAACTAATTTCATTAAAAGAAAATGTTATTTTTTTACATTTTGCATTAAACCCTCTGTGTTTTAAATCATAGTAGACAGATTTAAACCTCGATCACTAAATTTATGAAGTGAACATTTTAACCACTAACCACAAACCACTATTAATTATAAGATCACAAGTAACACATTTTAGTTTCATTTTCTAGAATTATCGTCTTACGTTCACAAAACCCAAAAGAAGCACAATTTCTCCATATCACGGTCGGTACTGGACCACAACATTGAACAAAACCTATTGTGGAAAAATATATGTTTTTAACGACGGATGAGGATACTGAATTATTGCTTTACTTACAAAGATTGTGACAAGATAAATTAAAGCGAATGAAACGAAATATTTCACTTTATGGATAATGGAGTTGACAACTATAATAATTGATTGTTTGGAGTTAACGTGATTATGTTTTTTCCCCGCATGTTGAAACAAGAATGAGGGAACATGCTATTTAAAAGGGATAAGAGAGATTCAAATTCACAAATCACAAGGGATTATAATGATTTTAAGTCGTGCAGAGTATGCAGTGATTTGACATGAATCTTGGCCTAACCTTATATAGTAACATGATTAAGACACTCTGACACTGCATAAGCTAAAGCTTTTAATCATTATACGTAAAATTTATTACTATATCCATGTCCTAATTGTCAATGATGGCGGTCATAATCTCATTATATGATAAACCAAACATTCATAATTCATAACACTTCTTCTGTCTTTTATCTTGGACTACTACATATGAAACAATAATTATACCATTTCAGGTCATCCATTTGACGATATATATATAGCAAAAAAAACTGGTGAGATAATATTATTTTGCAACTACAAAGAATCTAAATATTTACTTGGGAGAGATAGAGAATCCAAAAGTGAAACTTCAGGTAAATATTACTTTCTTATTTGATTATACTTCCATGCATGCTAATCCATAAGTGATAAGACTAACTTAATTTTAGAGTCACCAACACAAATATATGAAGCTTTGAGTGCAAAATAACGATTAATTAAGACCTTTAGCCTATGACCAAGAAGTTAACCAAATCTCTTAAGGCAAACCAATATCACAAGTTACACTTCCCTACCACTTTCTTTACTCTAGAAAACACCATAGAACTCTGAATAGCTCTTTGGCATGTGACTTAAAGATAGCAAAAGGGGTATCATTGGCTGGCCAAAAAATCAATCACCACTTTGCGAGTAGGGTAAAGAAAAGGGAGGAAAAGTACAAGAAGCTAAAAACATATCACCAAATCTATCAAATTTCTAAAAGCATCAAGCATTATCATAAAAATCATCAAGCATTATCATAAAAATTTCCAGAATTTCTTTCATTGAGAATCATAGCATACTTAAGATCAAATGTTTAAGTTGTAAGTTATAACACGTTCTTTTAAGCAGAACTAGCATCAGCTTCTGAGGTTTTATCAACTTGTCTCTATGTAAAATATGACGACTGGTTAAAGCATCAAGAAGGTCGCACCACTCTCCAGCCAACACTTTTTAGGCAATGAAAGTTCATAACGTTTTTATTTTGTCTCTTGATCAGTTTGGATATGTGACTAACAAAACCTGAGGGATTCGTTGGTAACAAAGTTAGTACCTTTTCATCAAACAATGAAGTTGCATACATAGAGTTGTACAAGCAAGAAACAAGGGCAAGACTCGCATTTAGCACAAAGATCCAAAAGATAGGTTCTAAATTCTGACATTCAATAGTTTAAAGGCTACTAAGGCTACTAAGTTGCTTCATCTTTGTAAAAACCAAGCGGCTCTAATAATTTCGAGGTTTCTCATGTTTGAAGCTGCAACATATAAGAACACGATATATATAAATGCCAAGGTCAATAGATACACCATTAAAACTAACATATCTCACAAGCTCACCTGCAAACTCATCTGAATGCAAGACCGTCGATATAACAGCAAAAGCTCCAATCAAATACTTAAAAGAGTAATTCATGCATTCATCACAAAAACAAGGATAATTGAGTCAGAGCAAACCTTAAACAAGTTACAACACTTGTCATGGGATGATCAAACTGTTACAGTTAGAGCTCGTTCAATGATGAAGGAATCTGTCAAAGTAAGCACATGATTAGACCACACCCCACTAATACATCCTCCTTCTTCTGCCCTCTCCATTGCAATCTCTGTACACCAAATTTCTGTTGGAGACTTCTTAAATAGAATTGCAAGTCTTCCACCATGATTCACAATTGTACCTGTACAACCTTCAAGCTTCTCAGGTAGACCTTCAAACCCCAGAAGACTGTCCAACTCCCCACAACTAAATCATACGCAAATATTTGGCTCTCGAGATAAAAACCGTACAACATGTTATCAATTGGGCAAAAACCCTTCATCCATAATGCATTCAACGTCAAGTCTTCCTCGAATCTACCCTTTTTCGGATCGTAAACAAAAATAGTCTTCTGACCCATTCTATAAATCTTATCATTCATCACAAAGCAGTTCACTTGCTCCTCCAGGTCCACATTATCCAGACTCAAGACAGACTCCTAAGTTTCCTTGAAGTTGAATACCTCGACCCAATTCAAAGACGGAGTGTTACAACCTCTGACAACATATAATTTCCCGTCGATCAATCCCACGGCGGTGCATTTACGAGGCTCCTTCATGTTAGGGAGGAAGCGACAACTGTGAGATCTACAATCGATGACAGACACAGTGGAGACAAATTCTCCATTGATATATCCACCAATGACGTCAATCTCAGAACTGGCAGCGATAATAGTTGTTCCAAATCCAGGAATTGAAGGGAATGATGGAACTCTACTAATCTATGGCTAATATCCGTTGTTCCAAAGGGTTTTAAATTGAGTGTGTACCAGGTAAGGGTTTTTGTAGCTTGTGATCTAATTGCTACATAGAGGATATGTTCAGTGAGGCGAATTACTGACCGTTCGATGTAGATCTCTGGCGAAGCGATTAAACGCCTGAAGTTTCTGCAGACTAGTGAAATCGCCGGGTAGTATTAGTAACATCTCCGGCGAAGCAACTCACAACGATTTCGTCATGAAGAAGAGCCAGAGACGACGAACGCGAAGACGGAGAAGCCGGTTCAAGCAGTTTCTTCTGTGGCGGTTCTCCGGCGATCGAGCCAACGGAACGAGATATCATAATCGTCGTTAGTAACGACTAACAACGAAAAAAGAAAAGAACTAATTATATTTATTTTATTTCTAAATGGGCTTAGGGCCATTTCTATCAAATAGGCCTCATTGTACCGAAATCTCTACAATAATTAATTGAGAAGTAGAAACACACCATATTGAAAGTTAGGGCATTGGAGGCCTGTGGTTAAAAGTTAGAATGATTTGTCCTAAACACCCTTAATGAATTGTTCTTCTCGAAATTTCTCCTTCTTCGTAATTAGGGGTATATAAGTCTAATCGTGTGTTGATCTCTATAATAATGTCCTAAACACCCTCAATTCGAAAATTTTTGTTCTTAATTGTTAAGGGTATATAAGTCTAATCGTGTTTTGTGATGATTAGTCTTAATCACCCTTAAATTTTTTTATTTTATAGTGTAATCGTTAGGGATACGGATGTCATAATGTCTCGACTTTAATGATTATGGAATCTTAGCTTAAATTTATTTGTTAATTTTTTGGATAATTCTATAACTTAGCAGTTAAAATTCGTTTTTGTTAGTTTTCTGATTTTGTTTCTAATTAAAAAGTTCAATATATTTGTTAATCTTTTGGATAATTCTATATCTTAGTAGTTAATATTCATTTTTGTTAGTTTTCTGATTTAGTTTCTAATTAAAAAGTTAGATTTCTTAAGATAATGATTGATGTTTGCCCTAATTTTAAAGCTATATATATAGTTATCGGCCAGAGAATTAGGTATTGTTTTTTTCCTGTGCTCATTAGATAGTTTCACCGTTATGGTTTTTTTATATAGCTACTACGATTCTGATGAATCGAATTGTTTGTCATGCATATATTGTTTTCATGGTCCTTTAAAGGTCGTGTGCATGTTTTTTGTTGTTTGTTTTATTTTTTGCATGAATTCGTTGATTTATTGTTTTGCTGATTTTTTACCTTTGCTATGTGTTTCAGATTTGTAGAACGTGGGAGGTTCCATCGACAAAGCTTTCGGACGAAGGTGGTGTTGATGAGAACATAACGAGGTTTGGAAAGGTATTTCTATAGATTTGGTTTGTATATTTTACATCTATTTACCTATTTAAATGTTTGTGTTTCTTTATGTTCTATTAAATATTTTTATATGCAAATAGTACGTATGGAATATTTTTTACGTAATTGTGTAATTATGGTTTACGTATATTATGGTTTTTTTTTATATAGCTTTTTAGTAATTGTGTTTAGCCGTGTTGAGATGATTATTGTTCAAATAGTACGTATGTTTGATTGTTTGAAATAAAGAATAATTGAGATATCTAATCGTGTGTTCTATTGTTTTCAGTAAATCTTCATCTTCAACAATGAAAAGGAGGAATAAGGTAATCTTTTACATTAATCGTTTTCTTATAATTCTATTAGTTTGTAGATTATGTTGTTATTTGTATTCTGGTTTCTATTGGTCGGTTGTTTTCTTTAATAAAACTAATATCCAAAAAAAATTATGAATTCTGGTTTCTATTGGTCGATTCCTAGGTTACCCGTGAAACAGTGGCGGACCCAGAAATTTTTTTTACCTGGGTCAAACTTATAAAAGAAATCAATATATGTTTAAAATTTTTTGCCCTTCATATAAAATATATACTTTATCATTTTTGAATTGCGTTTAAGCTATTATTTTATCATTTTTTTTTGTTTACAAAGTTATACAAGTTTTTGAATTGCGTTTAAGATATTATTTTATCATTTTTTTTTTGTTTACAAAGTTATATATTTGGTTTGCAAATAAATTGAAATGGAGACTAGAGAAAACAAGTGAAAATAAGTAATTTACCTACTTTCAAAACAATTATTGCCAAAGTTTAAACAATGGGCTATGACCCAATGAAAAATAGGGGAAATAATGGAAGCAATGCGGTGTTAAACGTGGGTTTAGGTGGGTCAAGACACCAATAATTAACCAATTAAGCCAACAAAACAACATAATTCTCTGCTTAAATGTTTAACCTATATATTTAAGGGGGGTCATCTGACCCACCTTTCTTCCACATGGGTCCGCCTCTGCCGTGAAAGTTGTATGAACAAGTAAGCAAAACACCATCTCGACTGATATGTTTTCGTTGATAATTATATATTTATTTTCTCTCTTTGATCGATATATGTTTCGGCTGTGTGTTCTTTTTAGTATGACCTAATATTTTGTGTTTCCAATCTAATGCCACATATCTAGAAAGAGGAGACAAGTCCATAGAAAAGGGATGGAGAACGACAACACAAAAGAGGTAGACAATTAGGTTTTATATTATATACGACAACACAAAGGAGGTAAACATTGTCATTTTGTTTTATGGTACAAAGTCATCTCAACTCTTTTCTTTGCTCTGTATCTTGCTGCAACACATTTCTAATCTTGTTGGTAACCCAAAGATTGTGCTCCCAGTTCCTGCCTTCAATGTAATCAACGGTGGATCTCATGCAGGAAACAAACTTGCAATGCAGGAGTTCATGATTCTCCCTGTTGGAGCTTCATCTTTCAAGGAAGCCATGAAAATGGGTGTGTAAGTTTACAACTTGAAGGTAAATCATGAATTGTTTTGGTCTTTGAGATGCTCATACTATGATAATTTATGATTTAAAAATGTATAGTCAAAATAATAGGTCTCTTGTCGTTACTCCTTTATCTGAAAATTTCTTGTCGTGTTAACATGAAAGTTCTCACGTTTCTTGTATGTGACTAATTCATCCTGTTTTTCTTATGTCTATGTTCAGTCTGTGATTAAGTACGGTCAGGATGCAACAAACGTTGGGGATTAAGGTGACTTTGCACCAAACATTCAGGAGAACAAAGAAGGTCTAGAACTGCTTAAGACTGCCATTGAGAAGGCCGGATACACTGGCAAGGTTGTCATTGGAATGGATGTCGCTGCGTCTGAGTTCTACTCATCAGACAAGAAATACGACTTGAACTTCAAAGAAGAGGTAAAGCAATCTCTTTACAAATCATGAACCTCTTTGAGAAGAAATCAAGAACATTGCTTTCAATATCTATCCGCTGCTCTATTTGTGAATTTGCAGAACAACGATGGTTCTCAAAAGATCTCTGGAGATGCTCTCAAGGACTTGTACAAGTCATTCGTTTCAGAGTACCCTAATGTATCCATTGAAGACCCATTTGACCAAGATGACTGGGAGAACTATGTTGAAATGACCGTTGAATGTGGCGAGAAAGTTCAAATCGTCGGTGATGATTTGCTGGTCACCAACCCCAAGGTATGCCATTGTTAATCAATCGTTTCCTCTAGAACTTTATCTCTCTTACTTAATATGCTTATGTCTCTAACACTCTTATATATATGCAGAGAGTTGAGAAGGCAATCAATGAAATGTCTTGCAATGCTGTTCTATTGAAGGTAACATCCTCACACACAAGATATTCTTGACTGGTATTGGTCAATTTGAAATCCTTTGAAATATTGTTAATAACTCCTTGGTGAATGAGTGAATAGATTAATCAAATTGGATCCGTAACCTAGAGTATCGAGGCAGTTAAGATGTCAAAGAGAGCTGGTTGGGGATTGATGGCTAGCCACCATAGTGGAGACACTGAGGACACATTCATTGCTGACTTATCTGTCGGTTTGTCAACCGTAAGTCAAAAACCCAACATCATATATCAAGAAATATCCCATTGTATCTTCTCCAAATCATGTCATGATATGGAGTCTCTTGGTAATGTTGTTATATGAACAAGGACAAATCAAGACCGGAGCTCCTTGCAGATCAGAGCGTCTTGCCAAATACAATCAGGTTTAGTAACAAGTTATCTTGGTGTCTTTTTTTCTGATGAACTATCATTAGTAGATAGATTCATCATACTGATACCTTTTGTCTTTTTTTTTTCTGATAAACTATCATTAGTGGATAGATTCATGAAACATGATTACCATTATTAGCACATACTCAGGCTTTTACATGGTCCGAACTATCTTTGATAATTCATTGTTGTGTACTTGTGTGCGTGCATGTAACTTAATTGGTGAATTTTTGATTCCAAGTTCCAATCCAGATCATGATCCAACACCAGGGGTTGGAAAGGTTCGGTTTCAATTCTCGGATACATTGTCTATCAAAAGTATATATAAATGCATACTCTAATGATATGATATATTAATGCATGTGTTTTTATTGTCTTATTTTTGTAAGTACAATAAGCAAACAAAAAAAAAAGCAGGGAAAAACAAGAGGTGGTGAGATGAAGACTATCACAACGAAAAGCATCAAGACAAGGTTAAATTCCATTTCCTACTAGAGTGCATGGTCAGAGCTGCAGTCTCTGTGTACTTCGATTGAAATCTTGAATAGCCTTAATTTAAACAATCACTGGATGAAAGAGTTTTTTTCTTGGCAATGCGTATCAAGAACTCAGAATGCACACTGGGTCTTTGGCGAAGTACGAGTATTTGCAAGGTATTTTCAGTTTTAGCAATTACATCCAAGCTCAAACTGCATAAGCTCAGTATTGTCTTAGGGAATTTGACCACGTTGAAATCATGTTTAGAGAACATCTGAGAAACGATCCCTATCGGATGGAAGATATGGATTTGTATTCTTATGTTCTGTATGCAAAAGAAGCATGTGCTGCGCTGAGTTACCTTGCACATAAGGTGGTTTTGACTGATAAGTACAGACCTGAGTCTTGCTGCATCATTGGCAACTACTACAATTTAAAAGGCCAGCATGAGAAAGCAGTTATTTACTTCCGGAGAGCTTTAAAACTGAACAAGTATTTATCGGCGTGGACTCTTATGGGCCATGAATATGTTGAGATGAAGAACACGCATGCTGCCATTGATGCATATCGACGAGCTGTTGATATAAACCCTTGTGATTATCGAACTTGGTATGGGTTAGGACAAGCATATGAGATGATGGGGATGCCTTTCTATGCACTTTACTATTTTCGCAAATCCATATTCTTTCTTCCAAACGATTCTCGGTTGTGGATAGCCATGGCTAAATGTTATCAAACCGAACAGCTTTACATGCTTGAAGAGGCCATCAAGTGTTACAATTGAGCTGTGAACTGTACTGACACAAAAGGAATATCACTTAATCAAGCTTCACCAGAAGCTTGGACGTAATGAAGAAGCTGCATTTTATTTCGAGAAGGATTTAGAGAGAATGGATGCTGAAGGATTAGAAGGACCAAACAAGTTTGAGGCTTTAATTTTTCTTGCCACACATTTTAAAACTCACAAGAAATTCGCAGAAGCAGAAGTGTATTGCACCCGTCTTCTCGATTATAGTGGACATTGTTCTTTTGCTTTTGCTTATCTCTCTCTTGATTTTTTCTTTGTATTTCTCCTGAATATATATATAGATAAGCGCACAAAAACATGGAAAAAAGGCCAGAAAGACCGAGAGGTATAAAGATGAGATGACCACTACAATGAACATCAACTTTGACAAGGTTGATTTCTATTTTCTATGAAAAAACTTTTTTGTATCTATATTAGTTTTATTTCTATTTTCTATATTAGTTTTATCGTGATGTGTTTTAGTATGTTTTCAATCGATTGTCCAATCTATGATTACTATTAGAGAAACTGAGACTAAGAGAACAAGGACTTCACAAAAAGAGAGAAAAAAGTTTCCATGGAGAGGTTCAACACAAAAAGGGTATTTAAATTCTAATTTTCTAACCAAATCTATATGAGATCGTTATGTTCTATTAAGTTTGTTCTGCTTTTTGTAATACTCGAAAACAGAAATAACAACAAAAAAGCATAAGAAAATGTAGAAATGAAAGAGGGGTCAGACTCAACGAAACTACAACAATAAGAAAAAGCGATGGGATAAATATAATTATGGAAAAAAATAACACTATTATGGTGAAATAAAGATGGAGAAGAACTAGAACACAAATACGATGCAAGAGAAGAATAGGGGGATGAAGATGTAAGCGAAGAAGAACAAAAAAGTGTATACAAAGTGTCAAAGACACAGAAGATGATGATGGCGAAGATGTGGATGAAACTTCACAAGTTTTAGTTTCATTTATCTTTTCTTATTAAAGTTTATAAAGCAAGTATGTTTTTCTTTGGCTCTATCTTTTCTTAGTTTAGGTATATTAAAATTTGTTTGTCAATATTGATCTTTATAAAAAGTTTCTATTATATTTGAAAACGAATAACAAAAAGAAGAGGAAGTATTTTTAATCGTGATGAAATCATTCTTTGTGTTCAATGGTAAGTTTAAAATTTTGTACGTGACTTTTATAATTTTCTTTTGCGAAGATAATAAAGAATCCGATGACATATTCTTCTTACATTATCATACTAAATTTAATTAAAAAATTCGTCACTAAATTTAATAATTTAAAACGATTTAATTAGCAAATGTATGTTGCTCTTCTTGACAAAAAGGTAAACCTATGAATTATGTGCAATAAACGAAATAGAAAAGTTTTAAGAAACTTTGTCCTCAACGTAAATCTATTGAAATTATACTAAGTTGTTTACAAAAT